GCCGACGTCGCAGCCGGGCGCCACGCAGTCGCTGGGAACAAAAATATACTCACTACTACTACTACTGCTGCTGCTACTACTACTACAACAACTACTACTACTACTACTACTACTACTACTACTACTACTACAGCCGAGGACCCCGGCCACGGATGGCACCGGTGGGTCGCTTGGAACAAATATACTGTGCCACTGCTACTGCTACTTCTACTACTACTACTACTACAACGACGACAGCCGAGGACCCCCATGGCCATGGCGACCTCGCCCTCGGCGGCCCGATCGCCGCCGAGTAAAAGGAACAGGTTGAATAAGTGATGTAGATGAGATGTCAGGAGCGTTCGGCCTAGCGCAGACTTGGGAAAAAAAAGCTGCCAACTGCTGACGCTTGAACCTGGCATGCTCGTGTTTGCTTCTTGTTGTTGCTGCCTGCATGGAGAAAGGATCCGGCGGCTTTGAAATTGGAGCCAGGATCTCAGTAGTGCCTTTTGTTGACTTCGCTTAGTCGGTTGGTCGGGATCCTTGAAGTCCTTGCTTGGTCGGTTGGTCGGGATCCTTGAAGTCCTTGCTTGGTCGATTGGTTGGGATCCTTGAAGTCCTTGCTTGGTCGGTTGGTCGGGATCCTTGAAGTCCTTGCTTGGTCGATTGGTTGGGATCCTTGAAGTCCTTGCTTGGTCGATTGGTCGGGATCCTTCAAAGTCACTTGGATTCGGTTGCTTGCGCTTATGATGAAACATGCAACAGCTTGGGCTCAAGCTGTGTGCGGCACCTCACTGACCAAGTTCATCCACTCAGCCAGGCCTGGGCATGGACGGGCGACTCAAGCTCCTGAAGTGCAATCGTGATGGATCCGTGGGAAGACACTGGTCCGAGGATTGGTCAATGGTTTTCCGTGTAGGGTGGACGCGTGTCCGGGACACGTGGTGGACGATGCTCCCTACGATACTGGAGGATGAGGAATTGGGCGCGCAGTATGACAAGCTTGGGATGAAGCGAGTCTTCGTACCTCTTAGGTGTGCCAAGTACACCACGAAGAAGCAGAGGACAGATTATGAAAAGGTTGGAAGAAAGCGGCCCCATGCGGGAGCCGAAGGAGAGCCATGTAGGATACTGCAGCAAACGGCCCCACTGCAGGGAGCCGAGCGTAAATACGTGGCCGTATAGTGATCTAATATGTTGCCCGAGAGGAAATTGAAAGATTCCTGCTGGAAACTTCCGTGTACAGTCTAACAACAAACCTCCAAAAGGGACGGTTGTTTGATGGTAGGCCACTTGCAAAGGGATATGGGGTTTAGTAGGGAGTAGGGTTCGCATAACATCAGGGTCTTTTAAAGTTGGCCTCCCATCATCGTTGGACTCTTTTGCCTTGAACAAAGACTTTCAGTGTGCTACAATCGCAGCTACTCGGTGCGGCTGCGATTCGAAGAAATCAGTTTCGACCCAAAACATCAACTGTTGCGTGCCCTGCTCTTGGTTAATGTTGCGGCCTTGCGCTGAGATCTTGTTGACGATGCTGTTGGCTGAATGTGCAACTCTGATGGCTGCATGCGCATTGACGTTTCAGCACTATGTTGTTATCTGTTGCCAGGTGATCGAAGTCATGAGCCGCAAAAGACGACTGACTGCAGGCCGGCCCGCAAGCCCTTAGCCAGAGCAGTGCAATGCAGCTGACGAGTTTGTGCAGAAGCTTTGTCGCTTGGTGGCTTGGGGTGCTTTGCTGCTGATGCGCAGCCCCCAGTGCTCAAACGATGCAGGGCTAGATTTGTTCATGTCCGCATATTGTTGCATCGGATATAGCATGAGGTCATTGCGAGGTGCAGATAAACTGCCGTACGCATCTTCAAGTTATAAGCAGCTGCAACGACGGTAAATAACAACGCAGATGGTGCGACCGAAAGAGCGGTGCCTGTCCGATGAGGAAATGGACGAATTGTCGAAGAGTATGAATATGCCATACACAGTGCAGCTGAGCATTCAACACGGCAAGGTCGCAGCTGTCTTTGGGCATTGTACCGGCCGGGCTGTTTCGAAAGAGTATTTGCAGGAATTCCTTTGGTTGCTTGAACCGTTGGTGGTATTCCACCCTCTTGCTGCATTTGCCACCGACTCCCTTTGGAAGCTCTTGCAGAAGCTTCTGCAAGACAAGAGTCCGGTGCCGGTCCCAGAAGTCCTCGCCTTCGACCTGCGACACCTCCTCGGATGCTTGAAGAAAGTCAAGCGGCAGCTCCGCAGCGAGTGCAAGCGTACTGGCAAGGATCCGGAGAATTGGCATTGCAAGGATAGCCTCGATCCTACTCTGAAGAAGGTCCTGCAAATCATCGAGATGCCCAGCACGACTTCAGATGAGCTGGATCGTGAAGCTTCGGATGATGATGAAATGCCAGAAGAGCCTTTGCTCTTCTTTGCAAACGGGGCCGATCAGGCGGCAAAGCGGGTAAAAACCGAAGCCGAGGATCCCGCGAGTGCTGCTGGTGGAAAAATCGACAAATGCCAAAGCCGAGGATTCCACGAGTGCTGCTGGGTCCAAGCAGGTGGAAAAGTCGACAAATGCCAAAGCCGAGGATTCCAGGAGTGTTGCTGAAGCCATCTCTGAGAAGAGGCGCGGGCAGCATATGCATGGAAAAGAACATGTCAAGCAAGCCTGGTTTAAACCCCTGGCATCTTTTGTTACTTTGCTTGCCCAGGAGGAAGATTCTGCAAAACCTCCAAAGCGGCACCATAGAAATCCTGGACGACGATACTCCGCTTGCAGCTTTCGTGCCTTGTACGCATATAGCGCGCAAGTGTCTGCATAATGGTTGAGGCGTTGAATTCATGGCTAGGATTGCATCGATCCATCTACTAATACATGTCTGCTTGCATCGTTCACATATGCCACCGGTGCTGCCAATCAAGGTCCCTAATTCCTCAGCAAGAACGGAAGGCTCTGCGGCAAGTTCCAGCGCCCCTTCGAAATCCAGCTTCCGCGACCCGGATGTTTCCCGGGAAAAGGTGCCTTTGGCTAGCTTTAAAACCTTGCTTTCCATGTTGTCGAAATACTGTGCTGGTGCTAAGATTGTGTTTTCGTGAAAGCATGGGTTCACATTAGCTGCAGGCATACACACCAGAGCCACCGTACGTGGCTGCCGCCTTGCTCAATCATGCCTTGCATGGATCTGCTTCCTCTATCCCCGCTGCAGCCCCACCGCCCAAGGACATTGGGAACGATTTGCGTGAACATGCTCCTGCTCATGTCACTCAAGCCGATCAGCAGAAGCTGGCGGCTCAAAAAAGAGCGGAGGCCGCTGCAAAGGGCAAGGCAAAAGCGAAGGACAACGCGAAGCAGGCGAGATTCATTTGGGGCATCGGTCTTTGAACCAGCCTAGCTATGACTTCTCGTCAGGTGTACGCTCTGAAGAAGAACACCCGGCCGGCTAACGACGGTACCAAGAATGTGCAGTGGGCCGTGATGCGGAGAACGGAGGCCCCTTGGACTTGGCTGGTTCAATCTCTGTCCGTGTTGCATCCGCTGCAGGGTACCAAAGAAAAGCAGCTCTTTCAGACAAAGGACAGAACTTTGCCGGTTCATGCATCTCACGTGCCAATATGCAAGCTTTGCCTGGAACTCCAGGACATGGATATCTCCACGCAAATCATGCAACAGCTGAACGATAAGAAAATCACGGAGGAGGAAGCAGTCTCGAAATCACATGCCTGGAAAGTCTCCGGAGCTCTGCCTTGAAATCCGATGACTGAGCAAGCGGCCCCTGTGCTGGAGCCGGCCTTCCAGATCGGTATATGAACCGGGCCGACATCGCAATGGTGTTTCGATACGTTACTTCTGAGCTACGGTCAAAATCGTCCTTTGCTTGCTCCACTATGTCCGTGCTTACATGTGTTCTGCAGCCAGCGTCTGTGCAGGTCGAGATGCCGAACTTGCCTCCGGCTCCCTGGCTGCTGCGCCATCGGCCCCCGAGTGACCCATTGTTAGTGTGTCGTTTTCAATTCAGTGTTGACAGACGCACACTTCCGCAATGTTCATTATGCTCAATGCAGCTTGTGTGGATATCTGTGCATGGACAATGCCGTACGTGCCCAACGTTGGAAGCCTGTCCCGCTTCTTGGAGAAGCTGGATGTGCTGCAGCTTCGAGAGCTGCACGGGTTGCTCCACCTTGGCATTCCATGGGTCGATCACTTAGCTGCCATCCGTGTGATTCGGATAGATACTTCTGCATTGGAAAGTCGTACTGCCTCAGGTCATCCTTGAAATGACCTTATACCTACTCATCCTGCAAAACATGGAGAATGGGCTCATTCAGGCTCTCGATGGCTGAGTGTCTGTAGATCTTTCTTTCATGTGTGTGCCGATTGCCTTCTGCAGGACCTCCCAGGTTGCTTGCAGTGTGTGGAATTCTTTGCTGGTGTGGCGTCCATAGCTACGGCCTTCTCTGCCCAGGGATACAACGCCAAGGCAATGGACTTCAATCGTTGCCTGTAATGTCAAGACGCATGATCAACTGTGCCACGCAGCTGATCCTCTTGCTGCTGATGTAGTTTGGCCACTCAGGTTCTCAAATGCATGATATGCTCCACCCTCCCGGCATCGTTCTCTGCTTTGCTTCCATCCTGGCTCTGGAGCCAGGAGGTTTGGCGCACTTTGCCACAGTCTGCACCAGCTTTTGCTGGACCAACAGTGGAACGCATCAACGCACTAGTTTCAATCCTTTGGGCGACGAAAGTAAGGAGTATATACGTGAAGGCTCACAACTGGCAGAGATTACATCTGCTTTGATGCTTTTGGCCTGGTGCAAGGGTTGCTGGGTTACGCTGGAAAATCCAAGATGCAGCAAACTAGAGATCTACCCATCCATCCAAGCAGTGGTGCAATTCCTGCTTGACCGAGAAGCTGACGGCTTTGAAGGAACAGCCCTTCTCAGGCATCCCATTTGTTTGGGTGATTTCGGGGCTCCGTCCCAGAAGCCGGTTTGGCTTTATTCTACATACGACCTTATGTCCACCTTCAAGGAGGCGGCTCGAAACGGTTCGCCTCGCAGATCACGCAGTACCGATGACGGTGTAACGATCCGGTGTCCTGGTTGCAAGTGATTTTCTGGATGCGATGAACCATACTTGTTGACCTGCCCCAGAGGTACAAAAACGCGGTTGGACTGGAAAAGGTCCATGGAGGACCTGGCCTCAAAAAGAGTCAAGAATACCCAAAGAGGCAAGTGCTGCAACTCACCTACCTGATTATGCTTGTTGCTCAGTACTGCAACTAACGCCGATTCTGCATCCGCACAGGTTTGGTCAGGTCTTGGCTGGCTGGTGGGTGAGCCATCGTCGTGAATGTCCTTCTGTCTGCAAGTCAGCAGGTGGCAGATCGTACTGGGTCGGCTGGGCGTCCTGGAAACAGATATGGCGCGTATCGGAAACAGGATGGGTTTGGCGGGATTGAAGTCCTGGGAGGAGATGTCCATCTCGCAGCCGTAGAGCTGAGACTCGAGTTCTTTCATCAGGTCCTGCTCCTCTTGCGCGTCGATCGTGGCCTCCGTCTGCTGAGTGTCCTAGATAGGCGGCAGCATGTTTGTTTGCTTTTCTTCCAGTTCCCTGAGCCCGAATGGTCCTGCAGGAAGGTGTCCGAAAAGCCCTGCCCAGCCACTCCGCCAGCAGCAGCCCCCGCCCTCATAGCGGTGTTCAGAAGCCGCCCGAACTTCGCCGGGTCGTTCTCGGCTTCTCCCGATCCAGCTTCACTCGCATGGGGTCGTTCGCCATGCCCTGGAATTCCAGGGCCGCCTACGGGAGCCCCTTCCCAAACACCTTGAATACAAAAGATGCTGCCATGCTGACATTGACCAACACGCAGCAACAGAAAGCGGAATGCAAAGATCCAAGCGAGCAGCAACCTAAAGCAATACATTTGAGCAACTTGGGGCAGCCAACCAAGGCAGGAAATTCAATTTTCATCCGCCGCGGGTGCACAGAGCGATCTATCGTCCATAGCGACGAACAATCTCTTCCAGATCTCCTTTGCGGAAGATTTCTCCCGATTCCGTGATATAGGTGAAGTCGTCGGATCCCCAACGTCTCATAACCTCCAGCTGCTTCACGAAGTGGTTGATCTCTGGTTGGGTATAGATCTTCGGAACCTCGGCGGCGGCTGAGCTCGAGACCGCCGGCTGTTGAAGAGCATCATCCTTTTCGGTCTTCTCGGGTGGCCGCGTCTTCTTGGGTTTCTCGGTCTTCGCATCATTTTTCGGCAGCAAGAAGCCTTTCTTCATGGTGTTGGAGGCAAGGGATCCAAAATCTCGAGCACCACCGGCTGCAGCATTGCGAACACCGCCTGGCTTTCGGTGATTCAGCTTCTGCAATCGGTGCTTCAGCTTCTGGCCGTACGAAAAGGGTGTTAATGAATTTGTGTGGCGTGGCGAGGTGCCAACGGCCGTTCTCTGCCTCCGGAGGGGTGGCGCAAAGCAGCCAAACCTTCACCTACTACTACAGCTTCTGCAAACACTGCTTGGCTTTCGGTGCTTCAGCTTGTGCAAACACTGCTTGGGTTTTCGGGGCTTCAGCTTCTGCAAACACTGCTTGGGCTTTCGGGGCTTCAGCTTCTGCAAACACTGCTTGGCTTTCGGGGCTTCAGCTTCTGCATACACAGCACATAAATAGTTTATCAGTTTTGCAAGTAGATCTTTGCAGTCCTGGCATCCAGGACGGTAAATATAGCGGTTATGCAGTCCTGGCATCCAGGACGGTACGTATAGTGGTTATGGCCCGGTTATGGTTGTTACACTGCGTAGGTTTTCGTAGTACTAGTACTAGTAGAAGAGCAGGGCCGGAGGAACGGCACCCCTGGCGCTAGGGGCCGGAGGATCGGCAAACCTGTACTAGTAGTAGTAGTAGTAGTAGTAGTAGTAGTAGTAGTAGTAGTAGTAGTAGTAGTAGTAGTAGTAGTAGTAGTAGTAGTACTAGTAGTAGTAGTAATAGTAGTAGTAGTTGTAGTAGTAGTAGTAATAGTAGTAATAGTAGTAGTAGTAGTAGTAGTAGCTAGTAGTAGTAGCTAGTAGTAGTAGTAGTAGTAGTAGTAGTAGTAGTAGTAGTAGTAGTAGTAGTAGTAGTAGTAGTAGTAGTAGTAGTAGTAGTAGTATAGCAGTAGTATAGTAGTAGTAGTAGTAGTCGTAGTAGTAGTAGTAGTAGTAGTAGTAGTAGTAGTAGTAGTAGTAGTCGTAGTAGTAGTAGTAGTAGTAGTCTAGTAGTAGCTAGTAGTAGTAGTAGTAGTAGTGTAGTAGTAGTAGTAGTGTAGTAGTAGTAGTAGTAGTAGTAGTAGTAGTAGTAGTAGTAGTAGCTAGTAGTAGTAGTAGTAGTAGTAGTAGTAGTAGTAGTAGTAGTATTATAGTAGTAGTAGTAGTAGTAGTAGTAGTAGTAGTAGTAGTAGTAGTAGTAGTAGTAGTAGTAGTAGTAGTAGTAGTAGTAGTAGTAGTAGTAGTAGTAGTAGTAGTAGTAGTAGTAGTAGTAGTAGTAGTAGTAGTAGTAGTAGTAGTAGTAGTAGTAGTAGTAGTAGTAGTAGTAGTAGTAGTAGTAGTATATAGTAGTAGTAGTAGTAGTAGTAGTAGTAGTAGTAGTAGTAGTAGTAGTAGTAGGAGTAGTAGTAGTAGTAGTAGTAGTATAGTAGTAGTAGTAGTAGTAGTAGCAGTATAGTAGTAATACTAGTAATGTTATAGTAGTCACAGCGGTTATTCAAGTCACGAGTAAGTCACGGGTAGTCACGGTAGCGATATATAAGTCCCAGCGGTTATTCAAGTCACGGGTAAGTCACGGGTAGTCACGGGTAGTCACGGTAGCGCTAGAGCTATATAAGTCCCAGCGGTTTTTCAAGTCACGGGTAAGTCACGGGTAGTCACGGGTAGTCACGGTAGCGCTAGAGTTATATAAGTCCCAGCGGTTATTCAAGTCACGGGTAAGTCACGGGTAGTCACGGGTAGTCGCTAGAGCTTATAAGTCCCAGCGGTTATTCAAGTCACGGGTAAGTCACGGGTAGTCACGGGTAGTCACGGTAGCGCTAGAGTTATATAAGTCCCAGCGGTTATTCAAGTCACGGGTAAGTCACGGGTAGCAGCTGCGGCAGTGATCGTAGTAGAGCGGCTGGAACCATGTTGTTTTCACAAACCTTTTTCGAATCCATGCGACAGCAGTCACAGGCCATCACTTAGCCCAGAACGGCACCACTGCAAAGCACCGCCCAAACCGAAGTCCAGCGCTGTGTCTGTCGCATGTGCCAGGATCTGGTCCTGCAGACACAGACGTGCAATCTAAAGGATAGGGTCGCTGGAAGCGTGGATGGATGTGCCTTCATTTGCTGGGGAGATAGATCTCCACTAGCTTTCCAAGCTTGGATTCGCCGCTTCATCCTAGAGCAGTTCGGGATTCACTGCACAATGCAGATATAACACCACAGGAGTTAACATGAAGAGTGTCCCTTGCTTTCTCGTTTCACGCGTTTTGTTGCAGCTTCAGTGTGCACATGTTCTGGTTTGTTTCGATCACAGGTACAAAGGATGGCTTTGATGCCACGTTGGAGCATCTCATGCGTGAGGTCGGGCTCGAGGAACGCGAGGATGATGCGATCAGAAAATCTCCAAAGCGAGAGCTTGAAAATGATTTTGCCAGGGTCGCCAAGGAACTGGAGGATGAAACCATGTTGGCCAAGGAACATGAGGAAGCTGAGAAAGCCAGCAGAATGGCGAAGGAAAGGGAGGAAACTGAGAAAGCAAGGTTGGCCAAGGAAAAGGAAGAAGCTGAGAAAGTAAGCAAAATGATCAAGCAAATGGAGGAAGCTGAGAAAGGCAGGTTGGCCAAGGAAAGGGAGGAAGCCGAGAAAGCCATCAGAATGGCCAAGGAAATGGAGCAAGCCAAGCTGGCCAAGGAAAGGGAGGAAACTGAGAAAGCCAGGATGGCCAAGGAAATGGAGGAAGCCAAACTGGCCAAGGAAAGGGAGGAAGCTGAGAAAGTCAGGATGGCCAAGGAAATGGAGGAAGCCAAGCTGGCCAAGGAAAGGGAGGAAGCTGAGAAAGCCAAGGAAAGGGAGGAAGCCGAGAAAGCCATCAGAATGGCGAAGGAAATGGAGGAAGCCAAGCTGGCCAAGGAAAGGGAGGAAACTGAGAAAGCCAGGATGGCCAAGGAAATGGAGGAAGCCAAGCTGGCCAAGGAAAGGGAGGAAGCTGAGAAAGCCAGGATGGCCAAGGAAAGGGAGGAAGCTGAGAATGCCAGGTTGGCCAAGGAAAGGGAACAGTTCAGGCTGGCAAGATTGGCCAAGGACAAGGAGGAGGCCGAACATATGAGATCGGCCAAGGACAAGGCCAAGGAAAAGGAAGACGCTGATAAAGCCAAGGTGGAGGCCGTGCGACTTGTAAGAAACTAAGAAACCTTAACCCCTAAACCATAAGTATAAACCCCATAACCTAGAACCTCAACATTAAACCCGAAGCCTTAACTCCCTAAATTTTATACAACCCTAAACCCCAAAGCCTAAATCCGCCACTGTCAGGTCGACATGGCAACACAGGCGGCAAAAAAATACCAGGCTTTGCCGATGAACGCGACAAAGTTGCAAAAGCTACAGCTCTTGCAGGACATTATGGCTACTGGGGATGAGGGTTGCAAGCAGTTCTGCAAGGATGAGCTTGCAAAACTGATCAAGCCGAAGGCAGCAACGCCAGCTCCGGCCCCTACCAGTGATGCCGATCCTCCGGCCCCTACCACAACGGGTGCCGATCCTCCGGCCCCTACCACCAGGGGTGCCGATCCTCCGGCCGCTACCACCAGGGGTGCCGATCCTCCGGCCCCTACCACCAGGGGTGCCGTTCCTCCGGCCCCTAATGCCCCGACCTTTGATGATGTCAGTGCGAAGATGGGTTGGTCAAGTCCTGCAACCCCACGCATGGTGGAGGCACCTGGTACGCCATCTCCTGCAACGCCTGGCAGTGCAATCACAACGCCTGGCAGTGCAAAAACAACGCCTGGCAGTGCAAGCGACGGCTTGGTCCAAGGTTCTGCGCCACTCTACAACCGAAAGAACGCCGCCATGTTCTTGAATCGCCTGAAAGGCAACCCAAAGAGGATGCAAGCCTTGCCTGATGACTTGGCAAAGTTGGTGCGGGACGAAGATTCAAAGAGCAAAGCCATCGACTTGATCGTCGCTGCAGGAGGAGACGAAAATGAGCTGGTCGGGCAGTGGACTGCATCGTCCATTTCTGTGGGGACGGACAAGGAAAAGGGAAAGATGAAACCTTTGACGGAACAGGAATTGATCGGCAAGTACGGTGCGGTCAATGCTGCGAAGGTGATGGAGGAAAAAAGGAAGGCTGGTTTGGAGGTTGATGATCCCAATTGTAAAGGGCTGAAGCTTTACTTGCACAACGAGTGGCAGAGGGAATGGACGAGAGGCACAGAAGAACGTTTCTTGCTTGCATTCATACATCGTGCATGCAGTTATGTTCGACTTCAACATTTATGTAGCATTCGTGCATTCATGCGAACGGAATCCGAGGAAGCAGTTTCACTGCTTCCGGAGAAGTTCGTGCGGGTGACGCTGCCAACGTTGCACAAATTCTCAGTGTGCCCCGGCGGGCGCTGACAGGGCCCGGCCAGGATGATGAGGACAATGTGGACATGGAGGAGGACCCAAAGCCACTTCCGACCAAAAAACCAAAGAAAGCCAGGAAAAATGAAGCCAGCGGCAAAGAGAAAGACGAAGACGGTGAAACTGAGCCGGAAGCACCACGAGTGGAGAAACTTACACCGCTGGACAAGGCGGCAGACTTAAGGGGGCGGGCCCTCTCGAAGGCCAACCACGCTGGCTCGATGCGGAAGCAGTTGAAAGGAGTCAGCTATGCGACTGAATGCCTCAAGGAGATGACCAACTTCGAGCAGGAGTTCCAGTGCCTTGGCTGCATTGATACCTACTAGATTGTTTTATGAGCCTCTGCCCCACAGGGCAGGCTACCCTGGTCTAGCCATATGAACAAGAAGTCTTGACAGACGCTCATGTGGCCCCAACCCAGTACTATACGGCCAAGGGCGATCTACGACCAGGTGGACAAGCTCATCTCTGAGCTGGTCCACGATGATGGGGTCTATCTTCCCATTGCTACCAGATATCTCGATATCGCGAAGCGTTATGAGAGGCCCAGCAAGGTAGCAAACAGCTTGATCCGAGCTGCGAAGGCGACTCCGAAGGATCCAACCGCGCCCAAAGGATCGGCTAAAGCCAAGTCCAAGAAGCGCAAAGCCGCGGAGGGAGCCTAGAAAGAATCTTGGCACCCGGGGTCGGTGCTCAGATGGGCATGTCGTGCTGTTCACGTATATTAGAATATATTAGAATACTGCAAGGTTACTGGTAACAGATCCATCTGGATTTTGCACATCTCATTTTCTTCCAGTGTCCGACACTGATAACGTACAGTTGGTGTAGGGTCCTCGCCCAAGGGCTCGAGGACCCAAGCCAGTGTGAAAGAAATTCCGTGCTGCTTTGCACAAGATGCTCTCGACTTTCACAATCCTTGGGGAATCGATCGTCGCTCTGGTGCCAAAAATTGCTTGCTGCAGATGCCCTGACGGGGTTTCACGTGATGGGGTGGAAGGAATGAAAAACATTGTTGCCAGGTACGTGCCCTTGACAGAGTCTGGTCGGCCTGCCTTTACGACACGTCGTCGTGGGATGCTGCTGGGACCGCAATATATGCAATAAGCATAAACACGCCACTGGAGCAAGGACCGCAGATGACTTTGACTCCGCTGGTGCAGCTTTACTGGCCCAGCGCATGGGTGCTGGAGACTCTTGACTTGGATGTATCCAAGCACGTCAGCTATATAGTCCGTGTGCAACACTCTTGGACCTTGCAGCCAGAACACACATTCTGAGGCGATACCTGTGGCCGAAACAAGCAGAATAGCATCTGCCTTCCGGCGAGATGGGGCATCTGGACTTGCCCTTTCACAAATGGCAAGCAGCGAACGGGAGAGGGATTTCTTCCGCTGGATGAAGTTACCCATCCAGCCCCTGCTGGTGGATTTGCCTGTGTGGAGCAACATCAAAGAACGCAAGGACAAACAACTGATATTTGAGAAAACAGCTTTCTGTCTTCCCAGTGATGTTCTCTGCGAGCTTTGCAAAAGATCACTGGTGGAAACCTGTCTTATTGGACATTCGCACCTCGGCACGCGCCTGATTGCTTGGTTCATTGTTGGTGCATTTATTGCTCATGGACGCACATTTCCTGCTTTGATATCTCAGGTCAGTAGATGAATGGTGGAAGCAAGAACGGGACCAGGTTTACATACGGGAGATCTCCCGGAACAATCCCAACTACCAGGACATGCTTCCATTACGCTTTCATGAGGATGGTGTACCAACAACTAAGAGCGAAACATGCAACTTCTGGTCTTGGACCACGCCTTTGGCTAGCCGCGGAAGCGAGATCTCTCGCTTCTGTCCCTCGGAAATTTTCGATTAGCAATATTCTTTTAGTTGGACAACAGAGCTAGCTGACCATATACATATATATATATGTATATGATGGACAACAACAATTAAAGGCATTGTTGGTGTCACGAACAGTCGTGCCGCGCCCGAAACGAGACGCTGCATCGCTGACATCATCGCTTGGGATCTTCGAGCACTGGAACGTGGCGTTTTTCCATCCTGCGACCACAACGACGTTCCGTGGCCAGCTGGCTCAGCGCGAGCCCAAAAGATTGGCCAAAACATTGGGATCCGAGCATGCTTCTCATATTGGGCTGGAGATATGGAAGCTCATGCAAAATCACACAATCTTCAGAGGCACTATAACAAGCCTTCGATATGCGATTGGTGTTGGGCATCGAGCCGGGACAAACAGCGGACTTTCACAGACTATTCTTCGTCAGCTCTGTGGCGCTCTACATGCAGCTACCATGAGCCGCTGCCACACCAAGAAGAACGATCTGTTTGGTGCTCAGTCAAGGGCTTCACCAAGCGCCGCCGCCTGTTTGACAGCCTCTAGGTCGCATTAACAGCATTCCTGGATGGCTTTTTTATGGCTTTTGGTTATGTAGTGCTCGAATACTGTAAGATGCACTGCTCAACCAAGTTATGCACCTCGCCCATCTGGGTTACATCCGGGACCTTGTGGCTTCCATTCTGGTTGAGACCGTGAGATCGGGCGAGATGGCAGCTTTCTTGCGATTCGATGGCAGCCCAGATCAGCTTCTTCACAGGTGGACTGCGGAAGCCCAAAGTTTCTGCAAGGATCGTGGCCTGGATTGCTCGATGAAGCCGCTGACGTGGGAAACTTTACATGCCAACAAGAAGGCTATCTACCCTGAGCTCACAAGCCGTATAAAGCAAGTCGGACCAGAAACTTGCTGGCGTTTACCGCTTATTACTGCTGTCAACTGGAAATACTGGTGTCTGGTGACGCACCCTCAGACACGGTGCATTGGTCGAGGTGCAGGGCAACGATGGTATGGTGCTTGGATGCAGCATTGAGTGTTGGGGGAACTGGCAGTAAACCCTTTCTCAAGCCAGAGGAGATTATCGAATCACAATGGTGTTTCGATACGTTCCTTCTGAGTTATGCTCACGCTGCTGCACGATTTCATCGAAAAGGCCTCTGCTTGTACAAACTTCGGCCGAAGATGCATTACACGCAGCATTTGGTGGATGAGCTGCCCTGCCACAAGCTCAACTTTTACCATGCTGCGAATTTTTTGGACGAGGATCATATGAAGTTCCTCAAGATTGTTTCGGCCGGCTGCCACGTGACTTCTCAGCCTCGCACCTGGGCAAGACGTTACCTGACGAAACAAGTGTTTCTCTGGCAACGCTTGCCCGGGGCGACGGCGAAGAAGAAGCGCCGCGTCGCCGAAAAAAAAGAGGACGCCGCAGGTCTCTTAAGGGTTTTAGGGTTTAGGGTTTCCAAAGTTGGGGCATCAGGTTTGGGGGTTGAGGGTTTAGATTTCGGCTTAAGGAAGAACTTGCCACAATGCAACCAAACAACATTCCATAGTCCCGAAGCTTGCAAGTTTAGGTTCCAAGTTTGAAACCGCAAGGGCCAAGGCCTCCCCAAAAAAAGGGAGGATGCATTCACATATACACCCCTTAATACCGATATTCCCGAAACCTCTCTTGTTCCCAATCTAGTGCATGCATGGCCTCGGGTGGAGTTGCTCCCCCTTGGCCATCGGGTGGAGGTGCTCCCCCTCGCAACATCCGCCTTGATCCTAAACCCTGGCCAAAGCTTGCACAAACTCCAAATCAAAAGCCTGCAAACAAAAACTGGGTTCCACGCCTGAACTGTTCAAACCCATAACAAAGAATCCTGCATAATGCTGTCAAAAGCACCGAAAGCCAAACCGTGTTTGCAGAGGCTGAAGCCCCGAAAGCCAAGCAGTGTTTGCAGAAGCTGAAGCCCCGAAAGCCAAGCAGTGTTTGCAGAAACTGAAGCACCGAAAGCCAAGCTGTGTTTGCAGTCGCAGTGGCAGTTGTAGAATCTCGAGGAACGCTGGTTGTGCTTGGGACTGATTGCTTGAAGGCTTGCACCTGTTGGTCGGTTGTGTGCTTGGCTCTGAAGGCTTGCACCTGTTGGTCGGTTGTGTGCCTGGCTTGATGCATGTGTTGGATGGTGGTTGTGTGCCTGGCTTGATGCATGTGTTGGATGGTGGTTGTGTGCCTGGCTTGATGCATGTGCTGGAGTGTTGGTCGGTCGGTTGGTTGGTTGCGACTGATTGCTTGAAGTGCCGCCCACCGTGAGTTGTAATGGCTGTTGGCGCCTCGCCACGCCGTACGTGTATATGTTTGATTGTGACAGCTAGTCAACAAAGACTCCTGCATAATATGCTTTCTACTAGTACTAGTACTACGAAAACCTACGCAGTGTAACAACCATAACCGGACCATAACCACTATACGTACCGTCCTGGATGCCAGGACTGCATAACCGCTATATTTACCGTCCTGGATGCCAGGACTGCAAAGATCTACTTGCAAAACTGATAAACTATTTATGTGCTGTGTATGCAGAAGCTGAAGCCCCGAAAGCCAAGCAGTGTTTGCAGAAGCTGAAGCACCGAAAGCCCAAGCAGTGTTTGCAGAAGCAGAAGCCCCGAAAGCCCAAGCAGTGTTTGCAGAAGCTGAAGCCCCGAAAGCCCAAGCAGTGTTTGCAGAAGCTGAAGCACCGAAAGCCCAAGCAGTGTTTGCAGAAGCTGTAGTAGTAGTAGTAGTAGTAGTAGTAGTAGTAGTAGTAGTAGTAGTAGTAGTAGTAGTAGTAGTAGTAGTAGTAATAGTAGTAGTAGTAGTAGTAGTAGTAGTAGTAGTAGTGAAGGTTTGGCTGCTTTGCGCCACCCGTCCGGAGGCAGAGAACGGCCTTTGGCACCTCGCCACGCCACACAAATTCATTAACACCATGTTCGTACGGCCGTTGGCACCTCGCCACGCCACACAAATTCATTAACACCATGTTCGTACGGCCGTTGGCACCTCGCCACGCCACACAAATTCATTAACACCATGTTCGTACAGCCGTTGGCACCTCGCCACGCCACACAAATTCATTAACACCATGTTCGTACGGCCGTTGGCACCTTCACTAACCGCTGGGATCCCGAACCTTTGGATATATAACCGCTAGGATGTGAATTAACCGCTGGGATTAACCGCTGGGACAATTAACCGCGGGGATTAACCGCTGGGACAATTAACCGCTGGGATTAACCGCTGGGACTAACCGCTGGGACGATTAACCGCTGGAATTAACCGCTGGGATTAACCGCTGGGACAATTAACCGCTGGGATTAACCGCTGGGACAATTAACCGCTGGGATTAACCGCTGGGACAATTCACCGCTGGGATTAACCGCTGGGACTAACCGCTGGGACGATTAACCGCTGGAATTAACCGCTGGGATTAACCGCTGGGACAATTAACCGCTGGGATCATCAAATAACCGCTGGGATGTTGAAATAACCGCTGGGATGTTGAATTAACCGCTGGGATATCAAATAACCGCTGGGATGTTCGATTAACCGCTGGGAGCCCGGGATGGCCTACATCGGTTTGTGTTTAGGTCACGTCGGTTATTAACCGATGGGGGGCTGTCCAGGGGGGGCTGCTCCTTTACCTCTTGGTAGAGGAAGAGATCCCCTGACAGGTCCTCTGCTCCAACAACTCAGAAGAGAGGCCCGTGTAACTTTTCGAGCAAGAAGGGAGCTCTGTTTACCTCTCTGTCGACAAGAACAAGAGTCCTTTCTCTCTTAGTCAGGGGCGAGAGATCCTGACCATCTCGTCCTGCTCTTCAACACATGGAAGAAAGCTTACGATCAAGAGGAGAGGATGGAGCTCTTCCAAATTTCAAACCTTGACAAGAGAAGTCCGGTCCTCCCTGCGACCTTCGAACGGAAGTGAGAAGCTCTCTACTTCACCCTCTGAAACAAGCTTCTTTCGAGAAGAGAGCTCCTTTACCTCGTGGCAAATCTTCATCCTAATCTTAAGAGGACTGGAGAGAGAGAATCTTAACATTTGTTCCGTGTGTTATGAACGACCTTGCCATGCTAAGAAAAACAGCACGCTGGTTCACATTATACATAAAGGACCTTGCCACATATATATATAGAGGTGCACATAAAAAAGTCAGGACAAACAGAGACTGAGAGACTCCTACTAATGTTACGAAACATGGTTAAGAAAGCTATTCTACTACAGTACTATTGCTATTGCTACTATGATTACCATTGTTACTATTGCCATGGGTACGATGATTCTAATTATTATTACCATGATTGCAATTCAACTATTACTGCGATTATGACCATCGCTACCAGCGTTACGATTGTTATAACGATTACACAAGACAGCGGAACAACAGACAGGAACAAACTTGATATCCTTAACCCTTTGCGCCGAACCAGAACCATAGGGTTTAGATCAACAAGGCTTATATGAAAGGAACCCAAAATCTCATTTTTGTATGTGGTTGGCTTTATTTGTGTTTAAAAGTGTTTTTTGTATTTAAAAGTCTTGTTTTGTATTTAAAAGTTTTTTAAATATGTTTTTTGTGTTTTACAGTTGTTAAAATTATTCTATTATATTTTTGGTATAGAAAAATACATGTTTGTGAATTATGAGTTTTTGTTTCTGATTGAGTCAAATGGCTTCCTGTTGTTCTACCTGGTTTCCTGCTGCTGCTGTATGTCTACAAATTTGTTGTTTATTTGTTGTTGAAGTTAATATTCAATTTTTTAAATAGTTTTGGTTGTGATTGAACAAAGAAGGGAGGCCGTAGTGACATGTTGACTTGCCTTGAGACCTTGCCCTTACCCACGCGGATCGACTGCCCTTCTCGGTTCGTGGGCACCGTTGGCCGGGTGTCAGGTGTTGAGTCGATGGTACCTGGACCGCCTTGGGGCCAACGTGCCAGGGCAGTGGCATATGACACCCGGGCACATGGGCTAAAGTGCCGGGTGGGGTGGTCCAGTGGTTGTGGCTTGCTTTCAGCTCCCAACCAGGAGGGGAGGCCATCCATGCCACGGATCGACTGCCCATCTCGGTTCGTGGACACCGTTGGCCGGGTGTCAGGTGTTGAGTCGATGGTACCTGGACCGCCTTGGGGCCAACGTGCCAGGGCAGTGGCATATGACACCCGGGCACATGGGCTAAAGTGCCGGGGGGGGTGGTCCAGTGGGTGTTGTTCGCAATCTGCTTACAGCCCTGAAGGGGAGGCCATCCATGCTTGTCACGTTAGTGAGCCTTGCGACTTGGAGCGACAGAGGCAGAGTGCCACCTTACCCACACGGATCGACTGCCCATCTCGGTTCGTGGACACCGTTGGCCGGGTGTCAGGTGTTGTCGATGGTAACTGGACCGCCTTGGGGCCAACGTGCCAGGGCAGTGGCATATGACACCCGGGCACATGGGCTAAAGTGCCGGGTGGGGTGGTCCAGTGGTTGTGGCTTTTTTATTTTTCTCCCAACCAGGAGGGGAGGCCATCCATGCTTGTCACGTTAGTT